CAAGGGAAAACATGAATTAAACATCTTAAGAAATATGTTCAAAAATTTATTGAAGGCTACATTCACATTTGTTTCAGAAAAAAACCTCTTCCCAATTTTCATAACTTAACAAAAATAAAAATTGACCTATAGTATAATTATTAATAACTCTTTTGTAATAAAATATCTGTTATGGCCTAGAACAGTAATATTATTCAAAACAATGACCTGAGCATCATAGTCTGACAGACCGTTAATAAGAGGATGCACAGAGAATCCATGTAAGTAGCTATTAATATAGATATTATCTGTTAAAGTACAAGAATTATTAGAATTTCTTGTAGGGAAATTAATTACTAAGGAAGCTAAAAGTGAGTTTAAACAATCTTTCCTAGTATTATCATTTAAATAATTTACATTGAAGTCACCACATAAAATTATCTCATTTGATGAATTATACACTTTATTTAATAGTAATTCCAGCTGATTTAAAAAATGAGAATAATTACCTGTAGGAGATTTATATATACAAATAATGATAAAATTTTTAACATAAATTGAAATGTTAAAGCACAAGTTTCAAAGTCCGTCTCTTTATTAAATTGGTCAAATTAATAGCATCAAATTGAAGGTTTTTATGAATAAGAACACATACTCCTCCGTAACTATTAATTTGTCTGCAGAAGGAATTACCCATCATATATTGATTAAAACTATATTATCTATTTCATCTAGTCTCAAGTGATGTTTGAATAAACAAATGATTTGGGGTGCAGTATCATTTAAAGAAATTAAAAAGTCTTCAACTTTATTCTTAATTCCCCATATATTTTGATGAATGATTATTAATTTGTTTTTTTATGGTAGTCCTGCCTAGTTTTGTTAAAAGAATAATAGTCCATCTTACCAATCATATTATGAGATTGATTATATTTATTCATTATGATGGCATGCCTATCAGGTAATTGATTGGCATTTAAGTTTCCCATAGAAAATCACTACATCTAGTAACAGGTATTTTTTGCTCTGACTAGAATTCCTAATGGCCACTTTTACTACTTTACCTTCATACTCAGAATTACCTTTATCTTGCCATTCATTATGCCAATCAAAAGTAATCAGCGAGAGATCTTTCTCTGATTTGAAGAAAGCAGTCTTCTGGGATTTGGCACCGTGTATAAGTGGTGTTAACCGACTTTTCGGAGGAACGTATCGCCTCCATCTTCAGGGTAGAAGAAAAAGTATAAGAAATCTGCAAGCGACAAGACCGTGAGAACGGTAAAAGCAACTGCCAAATCCCAGAAGACTGCTTTCTTCATAGTCACCGCCGTGAAAGCCTCAAATCTTTCTCTGATTTGTTTCATTCTGGTCCATCACACTAACAATATTACAAATGACAAAACAATTCTGTCCAGTGTGACTGTTGAAGCTTTTACTACTTCACGTTTTAGCTCCCTAACATGCTTCAGTCCCTATAGACCATCATCGAAGGGAACATCAATACTTTTAGAAACTACTATTACATTGGGTGTTTTGATTTTTAAATTACATAAATATACAATATTTGTAATATACACTTTATACAAAATCCAAATTTCTTACAACTACTGCAACTATCCTTAATGCATTAAAGTTTTTTCTTTATTTTAAAAACTTTTTGTTATTTAAGTAAAAATTCTTTAACCGAATAGGTTCGTGTCCCTTGTCCTTTCGTTTTTCTTGACGGGGCCGAACTTGTGCCGCCTGTCTTTCTTGGGAAGGTAGTTCTGCAAATATATTATGGGTATTGTATTATTTTAAAAATCCTATTATATATATATATTAAGGAGTTTGTTGTTTTTCGTCCTACCTTATTGTAGTCCTATGTTTGTTCGTAGTGTGCTGTGTTGTTTTTACTGTTCTAATATGTACTGTGTCATGCAATTTATACTTCCTGAGTTTGTGATGTTAATGTGGGTGTGTTCTGATGTTGTATTACGAGGTCAAACATGTTACGTTAGTTATTACTTTCTTTTGTGTGTTTTTGTTCTTCTATTAATTTATTGAGCTTATTAAAATGATATATATGGAAATTTTCTTTTATATTCGTGATGCCTCCTTTTATGGCTTTCTCACTCATTTCCATGATTATTGTCATTGGTCCATACTGGTGTTGTTTATTTAGTATATGTTGGGCGAATGCTGATTCATCTTTATTTAGTCTTATGTTTCTTATGTGTTCTTTATACCTTGTTGTTAGATTTCTACCAGTTTGTCCGATGTATACTTTTTGGCAGCTCTGGCATGTCATTTTATAGATCCCACTTTGTTCATAGGGATTTATTTCTCGTTTTTCATTTATTAGTTTACCTATTGTGTGAGTTGTTTTGAAGGCTATCTTTATATTAATGTTTTTGAATAATTTTTGGATTTTTCGTATGTAGTTTCCTGTATAAGCGACCCATTTTTTGTTCTTTTTCATCTTTATTATCCAATTTACTTTCCTTTTGTTTAAGTTTGTTACATAGTTTTATGATGTCTTCCTTTCTATAGCCATTATTTAGCGTTATATTAATAATAGTATTTAGCTCTTTATTTTTAGCATTTTCTTCGAGGGGTAGTGTGAGAAGTCTGTGTATCCAATTTCTATATGCCACTAATTTTTGTTTCCTGGGGTGGCATGATTTATTATTTATTGTTATGTCTGTTATGGGTTTTCTATATATTTCCATTTTTATTTGTCCGTGTATGTTAAATAGGTTTAAATATTGTATATTTATGTAATTTAAAAATCAAAACACCCAATGTAATAGTAGTTTCTAAAAGTATTGATGTTCCCTCCGATGATGGTCTGTAGGGGCCAAAACATGTTAGGGCGCTAAGAAGTGAAGTAGTAAAAGCTTCAACAGTCACACTGGATGGAATTGTTTTGTCATTTGTAAGAGATCTTTCTGTTCAAAGAGTGGCTGAACAAAAGATGCTAACAAATAAATAGCCAGCCATTTCCCTAATTTACTTCTATGTAGCCCGTGGTTTGTAAATAGCTTTCTATTATTATCGATTTCAATAATATTAGCGTGAGGAAAGGCTTTTGTTAATTTCTTAAATTTCCTATTTAAAATTTATATGCTATTATTCACCGAATTTGCATTCGGCAAGTCGTATCTAAAAGGCACATTCAACACAGCAATATTCATGTGATTGTTAGTTTGTATAAAATTTTGCGATGTTTCTCAAGGTCATACAGAATTCATTCAATTCATAATCATTTGATCCATAACAAATTGCTACTATATGATTATGAGATAAACAATATATGAAGGGTGGACAGAAGGTTTGCAAAGTGTAATCTTGCAACCAACACATATTGTGGCCTGTTGGAGGTGTTTGTTGCTTACTGCTGGTAATGCTGTATGTTGATTCACTATTGCTTAGTGTGTGTTGTGTATGAGTCATTTGACCACGGTCACTCAATCGGAACTGGACAGTGTGACAAGGACATGTTACCAACAAGGAATATAAAAACTTGTCCCATGATGTGATAAGTGTCTTCAGTTTTGTGGAGGCTATACTAAAGAGTAGTGGGATGACAGTAGAAATACCCTACATTTTTAATATTGGGGATTGTAATAAAAATATCATAAACTTATTTGTCCCACCATCTTAACTTTAATGTAGTTATAGTATCAATGTTAAAAAGTGGGTAGAACTAGTGAAGTTTAGCATGTAATCACTGGAATATTTCAGTGTATAACTGCAATAATGCTCTTGGCTTATATTTGGGAGGTGCTTGGTTAGTATCTAGTTTGGGACTTTGGCTGTTCTTATAGTATCTTCTGTAGGTTTCCTCAGTGCTTCCAGGTAAATGCATATATACTGTACAGCCTTATATTGATGAACTACCTTGGAGGTCATGCAAGAAATTCTACATATATTTTATGCTAAAATCATGCCAGTAATAGTGTTCAATGCTGAACTGTTAGAAATTTCCAGGTAATTCAGTCCCTTCAAGGGTACCGTAGACACATTCATTGCCTAATGTATGTTGAGTATATTTTAGGCCCTGCCATTCACAGTGGCTATACAGTCTAAGGCATGACTTGTCATTGCCTGCTCGAACACTGGTATTATGGGTTCGAGTCCCACTCAAGGCATAGATGTCTGTGCGTTTATTCTGTGCTTATGTTGTTCTGTGTGCTAATAGCGGCCTTGTGACAGGCTGATCACCAATTCATGGAGTCCTACTGACTGCGTATAGATTAAGAGACTGAAAAAGTGGCCAAGGTCTGTAGAGCCATAGATATTTTGGGCTCTATGTCATAATCTTGGAGTTTGTGTGTTTTTATATCTGGTGTTGAATATTCTGCTTGTTTGTCTATTTATTTCTTTGGACAAGTCTTACACTGTACTTGGTATTGTAACATTTTGTTAACTGGCATACTTATTCCCAAACGTGACCATTTATAATCCTGATGTTAATTCTCTGTAAACTCCAGTTCATAAACATTCCACACATACGCATTTAATAATGTACTGTGGTACTGAGAAAAGTGATACAGTGAAAAGGTGTGCTACAATTAGTCACGCGAGTATATGTGTTAAATAGAGGATTTAAAATTGCAGCCAGGAAGTTTGTTATTAATTACTTTTGTCATCAGAATAATGCGGGATATGATGGGTGTAAGAGAAAGTGTATGTAGTCAGTCGAAACAGAATAGAAGGCATGAAATGTTTCGGAAACGAAAATCGCAACATGGTTTAATTATTGTACATGTTAGATATGAAATTCTCTCTGTGCAGACAATTGAGAGTACTGGGAAGTAACAATATTTTGGTAGGCGTTTACCGGCTTTTGGAAGGAACGCTGTTGAATTACCGGACTATATGGTGTCACATCCCAGGACAACTTCTCAAAAGTAAATTACATCTCAATATTTTACACCTATATGGCAGCATGTGCAGCAACATTCCATGCTACGATGGGAGAAAGATTGTGTATCACGGCATCCATGGTATGGTATCAAGTAGACTGTGGATACGGAAATTTAGGTTATGTTTTTCGATAAGAAATGTGTTGATGTATAAATTTTCACTAATGTATTATAATTTAAGCATAAATTTTTACTCCTATGCAGTTGCATGATAGTGGATTGTGTATAGAGTGGAACTGGTTTAAGTGCAGTGATGCCCTATTTTTTTCTAAAAAGTTAGCTCTTCGAACTTCGAAAGCTTACACAGCGACTCGAATCGTATTATTGTGAATGGGAAGGGAATCATAGGTTTTGAATTTAAATTTAAATTTAAATTTTATCATCGAAATTCAACCTAAAAGTACCGGTAACTGTCATACCAAGAATAATTAAAAGTATTTTTTGGTCACTTTTGTATGTAGTAATATCCTGTGACAGCAATGAAGGAATTGCACAATTCTGCAGTTAGTAAATAATACATCAATTTCGTCCTTGAGGAGAAGCACTAGATTATACTGTTGAATTAAAGGGCATGAATTTGTCACATTCTGTGGATATGCTGACTACAGAATTTCTGCATTTATTTACAAATGCGAGGGAGTTTATTTGCCTGAGTGGCTTTTCTCCATTTAGCCAAATACAATTATAACATTTATCCTACTTTATAGACAGTCAGTTGAATCTTAGCCAAAACAGATTTTTGATATAGTTCATGAAGACACAGTGTTCAATTTATTCACCATCAAAGGTGAAACTGTTACCTGAGCTAGAAGCTAGAAGTAGAAATGTATGTTTAAATATGTACTTGTGTATTGCACAAGTGCTTAACTTCAAGTCTGTATTGTATGTGAAGGGCACGTGTTATCCAGATGTAGATAGACATGCTTATCTATAAGAGTGGTAGTCCTTACTTCAGTTAAAAATTTATCTCTGTGAGTTTATTCTGTTAACCTTACAGTTTTCTTATGCACTGGAATTCATAATGATGTTACAATTATATTAGTTCCAAATGAATTGCCTGCTTTAACATATCTGGAGGTTCTTTGCTGGCCAGTTCAGTCTAGTTCAAGAACTTCACAATCTACATACGTATGCATAATTCTTTTTTTTTTTGTCCTGTAGCTTATGTAATAATGCTGACACTATCTAGGCTATGCTTGGATGACTGGTGAATGATGAATTGGAAAGGATTTGGAAGGAAACAGTCATGGTTTATTTAAGGTATTTGCATGGAGAGAATGAAGAAACCTATGAAAATTCTGAGTTAGGGTAGCTGGTGTTGTGGCCAGTATTCAAACTGAGTACCCCCTGAATACAAGACTGCAGTGTTATGTCTAAATCATCTTGGTTGGTCTATAATGCTTTCTTCTCTTTGTGACTTCCATGTAGATTTTCCAAACAGAATTTTGTTTGCATGTTTCAGTTCTGTGATACATTCCATATATTGTATGCCATCCTCTGCAAATTTATGACTGAAAGAGTATAGGTGCATTAAAAAACTCTTGGCTTGAAGATGTATTTGGTCATGAGCATTTAGGCTATGTACATCCTCATTTGATGGATAATTGTTATTTGCCAGGAAAGCATATTGCACCCAGAACTGAGTCTCTAAGTCAGGCATAATTTTTGCATTTGGTTTGTGTGTTAGGCTGACTTGTCAGACTCATAAATTAGTGACATAACTTAATACTATTCATTTGTTTGATCAGAGGTTTATTTTCAAATTCTGAAATTTGTTAACAAGTTTTATGTTCTCTGGACACAGTACATGGATTTTACATCATATAAAGTTCATAAATTTCAAGAGTTATTTGTGCTGAATGTGTATCTTTAACAGTAATATACTGCTACTTTTTTTCCATTCAGGTCTAAATTAGAGGAACAGAAAAGGTACACCACAGATACTGACAGAGCATATCTGAGTTCAGAACATGAAATGAAAATGTACTGATAATTAATATTAATATTGCAGTGTAACAGCACAACATGGAGTCCATGAAACCCGAACCTGATGAAGAATCATCTTATCACAGTGAAAATGAGCTGATTGTTGTGAAACAGGATGAGGTGCTTGCAACAAGACATTCCACTGTGAAGACTGAACATGAGGTGAGATGTATGTACACTGGATAACATTGAAGTAACTGTGGCAATTTAATACTTATTTCTAACCCTTCACAAATGGAGGGCCAATTTGATCAACTCAGTGATAATCACGTAGTAAAGCATTTCTTTCAATAGATGGCACCATATATGTTATACCAATGTTTAGAAGAAGTACTTCCAGCCACACTAGGCCCTGGGGTTTACTCAGTATCTAACAGAAATGAGTACAAGGAATTAATTAAATAATTTTCCTGGGGAGTAAAGCACGGCCGGCGCATAAGACTGACAACCTTATTGCCATCTTTAAGCTGATTGTCTAGATAATGTGGGGCCCTCAACGTCTCACAACCCTATGGGCCTTCACAGCATGGTATGGGGATAGATTTTTTTTTTTTACTTTTACATTACTAGAGGAAAACAGATTTGTGCAAGGTGTCTGTTACTTCATAAACAAAATTCATAAATTTATATGAAAAAAGAAGTATATGTAGAACATAGTAATAGTATATTCTCAGAGTTAGGAGAGATGTTCATATATTGCGGGGTAACTGCTATGATGTAATAAGATGTTTATAAGAAAGTACATTGCCTAGGCCATTTTTATACAGGTGCATCAGAAAGAATGCTTGGATTTCACAGGGCAATAAAATTGGTAAGGCTTCATCAAATCCAAATTTTATTGTTAACATCAGATTCACTAATATATATTGTTTATTTGTGGAATACGATATCATCCATATGACGTCCTTGGCTTCTGATACAGATGTCAAGGCGTTTTCTGAATAATTATTCATCACTCTCACGGTCATATCTGGTGGAATCCACGATTTCTTCTCTAATCGCTGTCTTCAGCTCGTCCAGTGTATGTGGTCAATGTTTATAAACTTCCGCCTTCAAATGGCCCCAAAGGAAGAAATCGCAGGGCGCAAGATTGGGCAAACATGCGGGTCAAGGAATGTCACCGCGATGCGAGATAATGTTAGGTTCAACCTAGGTTGAGTCAGTGGCATGAAATGAAACCACCCACTGCAAAACTGTGTTCCGAGTAGGGATCCTATCATGACATCCAAGCTTGAAATGAGTGCGGAAGGCTCGTTGAGTGGCGATCACAGACACTCTATTTTTCAAAAATGTCTCTACGACAAATGCACGCTGTGCACCCGACCACTGCATGTTACCAACTGAAACTGTATTCTCCCACCCAACGGTTGGCCCCACACTCTACGCCTCCCCCCGTAGTGGCGTAACGGTCGTTTGAAATCCAACCATCCTTTCTGATGCATCCTGTATATATTTGATTTTTTTTTTTTTTTCAAAATAAATATGTTGACAAAGGAATACAATTTCAAGTTATCAATACTCGTGACCATTTGAACATGATAAGAGAAAGTATTGTGGGTTTCTCTGTGTAACTGTGCTTATGCCCAAGCAGCCTTGGGATTTCTAGTAGGTATTTTTATGCTGGCGCTTTGCAGTCAAAGGTTTGAACTACTGTGATTGACAGGTGTGTCCTTTTAAATTCTGCTTGGAAGTTTACAACAGGTTGCTTCTTGGTTCTGCAGTGCATGCACAGTGTTTTAACTCTGCTCCTACTAATGTAGTTTATCCAACATTTACTTTTAAGTGGGCCACATATTTTACACCAAACTTTGTTTTTCTCTTCTATTTGTAATGTATGTATTTAGTGGTTCCATAACAAGGTAACTTGCCAAACAGAATTATAACTGTTATGATTTTGCAGCAAAACACTGACACAGTCAAAGTAGAACATAATGTGGATATTCTAAATGAAGATGATTCCACCTGTATGAACAGTGGTGACATCTATATCCCATCTGCTTGTTCCATAGCAAAGGCAGAACCTGAGGTGAGCTGTTTTCCAATGATTTTTCTGATTATCGTTTATGTAATTGTCCTCATCTTTAATTGACATGAAATTTAGGGAATAGTCACAATAATTTAATTTGTCTGAACTGAAGGTTTTTATAAAGAAGCACATTTTCTCCAGCTTTACACTTTAGCTCTGTTGTGGTCCTGCGGTGATTCAGGCCTGGTAGAAGTGGTTAAAATTGTGTGTTGGTTTGTTCTATGTGGTACCATATTTGTGACAAAGAACAGAAATACACCTACAGGTTTGTGAATGAATTGGAGCTCCCCACTAAAGGTCACAGATTCAGAATTAACTATATATTTGCAATACCACTGAACAGATTATTTGAAAGTTTGTCATATTTTTTACAAGGGGTTCCAGAAATGGGTATATTCCTCTCTGAAAATTTTGAAATCAGAAAGCTCTCTGCAGTTATGCCAAATTGTTATTCATTGCAAAGATTGCAATTTCAAAGTTTGGCCTATTAGATGGACTCAAGATGTGAAACAAATAGAATTGTTTGAGACCTGTGAGACGTGTGAGGAATGCAGAAGTCCAAGCCATTAAAGGCATGACACCAGCAGCACTGTCTGTGCCAAAACATTCACTACACACTCTATAGTGGCTGTACAAACTCCATGCCACTGTCTTCATCAGGTGTAACATTACTGTATTCAGTATCAGTTTCACTGCTGAAATGATGTGTTTATGGAATGCATCCTGTGGCGTGATCAAACAAATCAATTATCATGTTCCGTCTAACGCAACACAGACAATGTATAACATTCAGTTTGTTTTATTAAAACCACAATATGTTTCGACCATTTTTTCGGGTTATCATCAGATGAATACAAATGCTTAACACATTCAGGACCGGAGGGGCCAATTGGCCCTCTACGTTTCTATAGCGTTGTGGACCGGGCGGGCCAATTGACCCTTTTCTGACGCGTTATGTTGCAACCGACTATATCTCGCTGTGTGGCCATGTTGCATCATAACTACTGCGTAGTTGACCTCGGGAATGTTTGCTAGCTTAGCCAGTAACATGATCACGCTCATTTCCTGTCACTTCTGCGTGATGCCTCTTCACAAAGGGGAATGTTTCCAGAGATATTATGTGTGCAAGCACTTCTAGGAGCTCTGGTAAGTGTTCTCCAAAAATTTTAGTTCATAAAATTAATTAGGAGATTTTATATTAATTTTTAAAGTGAACAGTGCACAAGTTAGGGTGCTAGGCTTAAAAACCCCGGTCCCCAGGGCAATTTAAATATTTAAACAAACAGTCTGCAATGTGTTAACATGTGCTCTGTTGAATTGCAAAACGCTTTACCTCTCATATGGGCCCATATTTACAATGATTTCTTCTTGATAGTATTGGCAGAAGTAAAAAGTTGGTATGTGGATTAAGTAAAATTGAACAACCCTGGAATGAACTAGGGTAAACGAGTCTGGATCTACAAAGGGTGTGATTCCTTAGGGTTCATATGTGTGATGTTTAAGAATGGACTGATGGATGCTTGCTAGCCTAACTAGGCTATGGTCTTTACCCTTGGAACTGTGTAGCTTAGACTGCTTTGCACAGCAGAGATACAAACACAATTGCTTTAGTTCAGTTCATCTGAGCACTACACAAGTATGCTAGTGGCCATTATATTGCTATACACAGTAGATAGGTCTGTTTCTGCCTCTTTCCCCCTTGCCCCGCTAGTGTAAATGTAGAGTCTTGCACAATACTTTAGTACCTGTTGGACAGAGGATGTACTGGAAATGTCCAACAGCCATTACTGAGCTGCATGATGCACACCGATACCTGTACTGCAATCTTACTGGTGTTCCATGTACGACTCATACCATATCTTGCACTTGTTGCCAGAGGGCATCCTGGGACTCCAAGCCTGTGGCATATACAAGGGTTGGAACTTTAATAGTGGCAACTATTTATTTACAACTGATACAACATAGATGCATGTTTCGAAGTTTTACTCTCCTTCACTGTTGTCACCAGCATTGTGTACAACCCGTTGCCAGTGATATGGAAGTTGTAGGATACCTTTAGCAGCGCCTGTTGTGTTGATAGTTCAAATGGAGCGGTCTACTGCCTGAAGAATCTCTAGAACAGTTCTGAAGTGAATGCCATGAAGTGGTTCCGTCATCTTTGGAATCAAGTCAAAGTCACAAGGGCTTAAGTCTGGGGACTATGGTGGATGGTACAGCACTTCCCCGCCCCATCGATCGAACAAATCAGCCACAGCTTGCACTGCATGCGGCCAAGCATTGTCCTGCAAAATAATGGGTGGGTTCTGCAGAAAGTGTCGCCACTTCTTTCTCAGAGCTGGTCACAGGTTGTGTTCCAAAAATGAATAGTAATACTGCGCATTGACGGTCTGCTGTCGGGGAACGGTATGCATTAGGATAACACCATCACAGTCATACATGAAAATCACCATAACTTTCACATTGCTTTGGTTCTGATGAACTTCTGATTTTCGTGGTGACCCGTAATGACGCCATTCGTTCGATTGGCGTTTCATTTGTGGCTCGTACGAGGACGATTTGGTCCACGTCTCATCCAGCATAATGATAAGAAAGCCTCTCCTTCGCATAGCACTCCAAGTGGTCACGAGCAATGTCATATTGTAGCCATTTCTGCATTTCCATCAAATCATGCGGAACCCATCATGATGCAATTTTTCTCATGCCCAGGCATTCCTTCAGAATGTGAAGCACAGTCGTATGCACTAATCCTGTCTCTCAGGCCAGCTCATGAATCGTATGGCATCGATCACTCTCCAGTAACGTGGAAAGAGCATACACATCTTCTTCACTGACACTAGGATGACCTGGCCGACGCATGTTTGCCACATTTTGGCGTCCCTCATTGAAGACTCTTACCCACCTTGCCACTGTTCTGTAAGGCAATGCAGATTCCCCGCAAGCCTCTTGAAGACCTTGATGACACTGTCATGCTGTACGGCCTCTGGCACATTCAATCTTTATCCAACTCCATTGTTCCTGTTTCAAAACATCGTGACAACACTACATTAGACCACCAGCTAACACGAGGCTCTGTTCTTCTTGTCACTTTGCATGTGCGTGATGTGGGAAGGGAGAGTCCATTTGCTCTGAGGTAAGGTAGGTATGTAACTAACGTGTGGTATATGACATTATTTGGTTCTGTTGCATGGCATCTCTACAGCAGTGTTGCCACTATTAAAGTTCCAACCCTTGTAAAAAAACCCTTGCCATGTTCCTGTATAAAGGAGTGCACTGAATTTATGAATGTGCCAGCCATGGCACAGATCCTCTGTGTGCAAACTAATGGTCCCTCCGTTCACATACATGCTGACTGAAGTGCACAGACACTCTGCCAATTATAAGCCATACACTGGCACGTGTTTCTAATGGAGTGCCATCCATGGGTTGCGGTAGATGCGTGTGTAGGAATGGCAGATGGATAGCAGCTGTAAGATGAATGGGTGAATGAGGCCATTCAGCACATTGAGAAATAATGCTGACACCTTGTGACTCAAAATGTGTGAGTTATCCTCCATCCTGGTGTATGCACTGTGGAAGTTCACCATCCCATTTCATATGAACATGCATTGTCAGCAGAACAATTGTAATGAACAGAGGTTTGTTTACAAATTGTCACAAAAATCAATAGCAATATAACTTGCAGTGGACTGTATGTTGCCATTTCCTGCAGTTCCATTCCGCATATGTTACAAATCTAATGCTCTTGTCACAGCCATCCAGTACACCGAAAAGCTTAAAATCTTACAGTATACCAAGTTTTTGCAAGTTCCACGGAGTTACTTCTCTGGGTTCCACGATTGCCTTCCTTTTATCAAGATGTAGTTTAAATGGATTGAAGCAGTGATCAGGTTTATAAATGTTGTCCCCCCCCCCTGTTTCAGCAACCTACAGGAGTGTTACCAACAAATAAAGCTGCAATGATACAAGTATGATTTGCAATTGAAAATTTAATACTTCTGCTTTCATTCACAAATATTATAACTGCATTGTGCTCATCTTATAAATTACACAAATGTATTTATTATTATTATTATTATTATTATAACCACAAGATGAATAGTCCTCACAGCAGGGCTAAGCAGGACTATATTCACTTTGAGCAGGATACAACAGAGGCCAAAGACATGTGCAGCACATGAAAAGCAAACTGGATTGGAAGGCTGGCTACATAACATGCCAACTCATCAGGATTTCAGAAGTTAATTGTTTCCGTACTTTCTGATCTAGCAACCACTAAACCAAAAACTATGCTCTGTTACCAAGGAAACACAAAGTATACTCATAATTTAGTAATTTTGCTCAGTGGTGGTCACATTCTGAAAAATCCATATGCCTCAGCTTTAAAATGAGCTTTTATTGAGCTGTCTATCAGAAAGAGCTCTAGAAATATCGCTATCAAAAAGAATGATTTTGACAGAATTATGAAGAATTTAGCACTGAATATCATAAATATTATTAGGCTTATGGGCTCAAAGTTGGCAAAGATTATTTCCTCATGATGCTCCACAAGCAAACAAAATATTTGGGGGGGGGAATACAAATTATTTCTTGCTGTCTGATTTGCCCTACAAATTTGGGTTCTGTCATCATGCATGAAGCCACCTGATTACTTCTAGCTAGGTAGTTGCACAGTACACAGTGATCTTTAACTGTTACATGGAATGTGTATTTTAAATCAAAGTGTACTGTGACATGACGCCCAAAAGCCAGAATAACAAAGTCAAAATAGATGTTCATTGCTAGGCAGTAACTTGGTAAACACATTCCTGCGGCAACGGATATGCAAGCAACAATCGAGTAACTTCCGTTGCTATGCAGCGGCACTGTAAACGCACCTTCCCAACAATAGAGAGACTGTTTTTGTGTGGTTTGTGCAAAGTGGTTATAGAGAAGAGTGCATTTGAGAAGTCATAGTTGGTTTGAGTTGAGTGCCAAGACACCAGCCTGCCAGGATATGAGCTTGGAAGCAGAGGAATTGAATTGAGTTGAAAGTTGCAGAATAATGGCAAGAAAGGAATTATACTGCAAAAAGAAGACTTCATGTGTGATTTGAAGACAGTGAGACTGTTATAAATCCATTGCCAGGATATGACCAGTGAAGGCTGAGAACCCTAGTGGTATGTACTCGTAACAGTGAACTGTAAAGTGTGTAGATCAGTGATAGTGATGGATTGCTTGTAGTCCCAAGTTGTGTAAATAAGGTATCAGTAAATCCAATTGTGAAATCCAAAATCTGTTATGCACAAACCCCCTACACATGACAGAACATTTCCACAGTGTTATTCTTAGTAAAGACTTCCACAATTTTAGAAAAGAAAATTTGTGCAACAGCTCTTATCAGTTTAGTGCACTGCAGAAGGGGCTAAAAGAAAGAGTATTTTATATCATATAATGGGAGAGAGCTATCCTGATTGTGATGGGTGTGCTGATATTACAGGACAGCATGGAGTTACTTGAAGTTGCACTTGGTTCATGTACTGAGATAAATGATACTTCTCATGATGGAAACAAGATCATCAGTATAAAAGTTGAGGACGTCCCAGATATACAACATGAGGAGGATCCTTTGCTAATAACATTTCCTGCAGTTAAAGAGGAACATGAGGTAAGTCACATGTCTTTGAGCACTTTCATACATATTGAGAATTTCATATTATCTCTTACGCCTCCATCAGTTTGCCCTATAAAATTATTTTTATTTTGATGAATGGATTTCAAGAATTCTTCTACAAAAGACTAGGTGGTTCATGTTGCTTGTGTGGCATTGGTTTTTATCTTATGTAAGTTTTAAGGTCCATGAAATTAAATACTGTGTAAATATTAAAGGTATGTATGTCAAATGTTATAGCCATAGAAGGCACCGGTATGTTGTCTTGCTTGCAGTAGCTTGACTATATAGCAGTGAGCAGTAGGACAACAGATAAATTGGAAAGGATGTAGATGGACATTATGGTCCGTACCCGACAGCTTCCTGGAGGGACTGAGGGAAACCATGAAAAACCTGTTAGGATAGCCCATGTTCTAGCTGAGATTCAAACCAAGCACCACACAAATACAAGTCTGAGGGTAATATCACAATGCCAATCCGTGCAGTGATTGGTATTGTAACTTTGGTACTACAATACAGGGATTCTAGAACAAAGTAGCCATTACTATTACTGGTCTGCAACATAATAAATGGTGCTTCTGTGAAGATATATGACAATAGTTGGCTGATGATTTAAATGTTTTGGACACTTGCCATGGTGTGCATTGTGTTTGATATGCACTACATTTTGAAAGTTGTCTATTTTCTCTTGTTTAGATGCTTCAATGTCATTATACTAAAAGTTTTCTTGTTACTTTTTATATTCATAGTGACATTTTGAAAACAGCCCATGACCTTTTTTTATTATCTTACTACAGAAGCCAGTTTGTCAAAACAGAGGAACAAGAAGGGATATTAACATATCAGTCAGTGTAGTCAGTATAGCGACTCACTACGGGATGGATGACCAAGGGGTCGGAGGTCAAGCATTTTCTTCATGTGATCCAGACCGTCTCTGGGGCCCACCCAGCTGCCTATCCAATGGTTACTAGGGGCTCTTTCACAGACAGTAAAGCAGCCGGGGCATGAAGCTGACCGCACACCTCCAACTAGTGCAGAGGTCAAAATGTGGATCCAGCATGCACTCACCCACATAACTTAATGGTGTAGTGCTTAATTAGTTCAGCACGGGGAAAATTTTACCTTTTATACAAAGGCTTATCTTACATTATATTATCAAACGGTATTTAGTCTTGTTTTGTCACTTGAGGCAAGGATCATTAACGCAGAAACTTCTCGTGACAGCTTTAGTCTCCTGCTGAGTATTCTTTTGTCAAGTACAATTTATAGAAATCAAATAAATTTTTCTGTGGTTGCATTGGGCTATGGTCCACTGGAAATGAGGTGGAACAGGTCTGACAAAAAGGCTTGACTCCAAAGTAACCAGGTTGTGAAGCACCACTACGGGTGCCGCCACCACCACCACTCAAAGAAGGGAGCCCTTCTTGAGAAGCCACCAATTGTACAGCGCTCAATAAGTTCCCATCATTTTATAAAACCTGAAGGTTCAATACCATGGTCTCAAGAGCCCTCCACTTATCTCAATCCTGAGCAAGATCAATCTTGTCCATGCCACCCCATCCTATCTCTGGGATCCATTTTAATATTGCCCACTCATCTATGTCTTGGTCTTCCTAGTGGCTCTTTCTTTCTGGCTTTCCCACCAATATCTTATATACATTCCTCATCCTCCATTCATGCTGCTTTCCCTGCCCATCTCAACCTCCTTGACTTTGTCATTCTAATTATATTCAGTGAACGGTACAAGTTATGAAGCTCCTCAGTATGCTGTTTTCTCCAACCTCCCATCACTTCATCTCTCTTCTGTTATTCTCCTGAGCATCCTATTCTCAAAGACCCTCAGTCTATATTCCTCCCTTAATGCCAGAGACCAAATTTCACACCCATACAGAACCACGGGCAATTTTTTTTTTTTTGTATATTCTAATTTTTACATTTTTAGAAAAGACGAGAACACACAAAGTTCTGGATTGAATGGTAGGAAGCATTACCTGAATTCAATCTCCTCTTAATTTCCTCCTGAATCAGGTTTTGATTTGTTATAGTCATTCTCAAATATCTGAACTGTGCCACATTTTCAAAACATCTGTGAGCTATGGGAGGTACAGCTGTGGTCTGTTTCATGGTATTATCTTAGCCCTTGTCTGGAGGAACTGATGAGAACAAGGAAAACCACAGAAGGATAGTTGGTATTCAGCTGAGATTTAAACTGGGTGTCTCCTGAATACAAGTCCCTTGAGCCGTATTGGTTTCTGCTTGTGTAATGGAATCTTGTAAAGCATAGAAATAATTGTTGACCTCATTTAGGGGTTGCTTATAAACTCATTCTATTACCATATATTCTAATATATCTCTTTTATTATCAGACCATGGTGAAAGGATACACACCCACATATAATGAGGAGCGTCCATACTCCTGTGAAGTGTGCCTTGAATCATTTATCCTTCAAAGTACACTGAAGAATCATCTGAGCTTACACAGTCGAGAGCGCCCATATTTTTGTGATGTGTGTAACAAATCATTTCGTCATCCCAGTATATTGAAGCGACATCTGTTAGTACATAGTGGGGAGCGCCCATATTTTTGTGATATGTGTAATAAATCATTCAGTGATCAGAGTAACCTAAAAAAACATAGGCGCATACATGTTGGAAAGCGTCCATATTTGTGTGATAAATGTAATAAATCATTCAGTGATATGAGTAATTTGAAGAGACATCTTTCAAAGGGTCCATATTCATGTGAAATGTGTCAGAAATCATTTTGTGAGCGAATCAACCTAAAGAAACATGAGCACACACATAGAGGGGACCGACCATATTCTTGTGATGTGTGCAGTAAGTCGTTTAGCCAGCAGAGTAATCTGAAGACACACAAACGCATACATAGTGGGGACAGTCCATACTCTTGTGATGTGTGTCATAAATCATTCAGCCAGCACATTAATTTGAAAGCACATCAGCGCATACACAGTGGCGATCGCCCATATTCTTGTGACATGTGTAAGAAATCATTCAGTCAGCAGAGTAATTTGAAGAGACATCAGCGCATACACAGTGGGGAACGTCCGTATTCCTGTGACGTGTGTAATAAATCGTTCAGTGATCAGAGCAGCTTTAAGAAACATCAACATATACATAGTTTAGAGGTTCCATATTCAGCTGTAATAAATAAATCATTTAGTCCACAGACTACTCAGAAGAAATAATAAGGTATACATAGAAGGGGGCGTTAGTATGCCTGTGATATGTGTAAGAAATCATTTAGTGATCTGAGAAGAAACTCGGGAGTCATCTCTGCACATGAATTGGAGAGTGTCTTTAATCTTGTAATGTGCGTAAAGTCGTTCAGTGATGAGTAGGGACCGGATTTTTATGCCCTAATAATCCCTTAAATATGTATGCATTTATGCATGAAAACCTTCCAAAATATGCACTAAAATATGAACATAAAATTTATACCAAATATTAAATTGATTTTACATTATTTTAAGACCAACAAATCAATATTTAAGTTCATTTTATGTAATCACTGAATGATTCACTTGCAATAAAAGCTATACTTAAATACAAATCATGCAACAAAGCCAACATATATCATTACAAATTTAAAAAAAAAAACCAATGGCACTCACATTTAGCTCTCTGAACTTTCAACTTCTCTTCTGTTGCAGTTCACAGTTACTAAATGTTCTAGGTTTTCCATAGTTATTGGCCTCCTATTGTCTCGTAAGATGTCCTTATAGCGGGAAAACCTTCATTCCACCTTACAGGAACTTAGGGGAGCTTGTACAAAAGCTGCTATTTGCCCCACTGTTCATGATTTTTTACTTGGCAGTTCATTACAGTTACCAACTAAAATTTCTGCAATTTCACAAATTTGTCCATATCCTGGATTTTTTTTAAAGAATGCTGTGTACTTTTTCATTTACTACTTCACCAACTCTACCAGGAACCGAATTCAATTTGGAAACAGTGGTTTTGAAGACACTTGTAGTGTTGTTGCTATTGCTTGCCTCCAGTGAGGAAATGGCGGATGGAAGATGAGAGAAGTGAGCAGATATATAGGAAAGATTAGTTTCTAGTTCTGCGTTTTTAGTACATCTTGGGCAATTTGAATTGATGCTGCTCTTTTGAAATCAAATGTATTCATGACATTCCTGTTTCTAAATGTTCAGTATAATAACTCGCTGCACAGAGTCATGTGCCCCAGCGAGTTAAAATTGGTTCTGGCGGAAGTGGAACGCTTGGTGCTATTGCTTTAAAGGCTTCTTTTCTGTATGGCACTTTAACAAATACCTTCTTCACAGAAGACACAAACTTGTCAACAAGCAGAAAATTTGCATGATTTGTTTCTGCAACACGGTGCAACCCATGTGCAAGGCAAGTCAAATGTGTCATATCTGGAAATATAACTTTAAGAGCAGTACCGGCTTTCATCATATGAGTATAACTTGCAGCATCAGTCACAAAGAGCAATACGCACTCATACTGAATGCCGTTCGGCCATAGTAAATTCGTGGAATTGATAAAAAATTCGCGGATGAGCCAAGTTACAAGTAGAGGGATCAAGGAAGTCCCGGCCTGGGTATTGCATCAGAAACATGAATCATGACAAAATATTGAGTCAAATATGCAACATATTCTAATACGGAAAAGAAAAATTGTATACAAATGACCATGACTGAAAATTTGAACATAAAATTAAAAAATATGTATGATAAACATTTTAAAAAGGAAATATGCACTATAAATAGAGATCTTCGAAAATATGATGCTTATTCATAAAACAGGCAAAATATGCATTTATATGCACCATCAAACCATGTCCAAAATTTAAGAAATGAAGTAATTCATACATATATCCAAATGAGCATACTTTCTGGTTGCAAGAAAGAAATATGGATTTGCATTAAAATCCGGTCCCTAGTGATGAGGTTACTGTGGGCGTACACCAGCAGGTACATGTTGGATAAAAGGTGAGGTAAAGTTGTCCC